GGCAGATCACTTGAAGTCAGCAGTTCGAGACCAGCCTGCCCAACATGGGGAAACACCTGTCTCTACTAAAAATACAAAATTAGCTGGTCATGTCACATGTCTGTAATCCCAGCTACTCAGAAGGCTGAGGCATGACAATCACTTGCATCCGGGAGGCAGATGTTGCAGTGAGCTGAGATCGTGCCACTGCACTCCAACTTGGGAAAGAGAGTGAGACTCAGTCTCAAAAAAATAAAAGGTTTTTATTTATTGTAAAGTAGAGTTATGCTATTCACGGTATGGTCCATGCACCAGTATCACAGCATCATCCTTTTTTTTTTTTAATTGCATTTTAGGTTTTGGGGTACATGTGCAGAACATGCAAGATAGTTGCATAGGTACACACATGGCAGTGTGATTTGCTGTCTTCCTCCCCTTCACCCACATCTGGCATTTCTCTTCATGCTATTCCTCCCCAGCTCCCCCCCCCCGTCCCTCCCCTATTCCCCCCAGTAGACCCCAGTGTGTAGTGCTCCCCTCCCTGTGTCCATGTGTTCTCATTGTTCATTCTTAGTAAACTGTCACAGCATCATCTTCTGCTGGGAGTGTATCAGAGACGCAGAACTCTGGCTCCGCCCCAGACCTACTCAGTTAGAATCTGCGTTTTAACCAGACCATCAGGAATTCATATGCACATTAATGTGTGAGAAGCCCTGAAACTGAACATACATATGAGACTTAGAAGACAAAGAAGTCAATTGCCAATGTGCAGACCTAAGTTAAATCTGAGAAAGTTAAAAAGCTATCAATGAGATAATTTGAAATTTGAACATTTATTGAATATTTGCTGATATTAATGATTCATTTCCTAATTGATAGGGAGGTTTTATTAAAAAAAAAAGAAGAGCCCTTTTGGCCGGGAGTGGTGGCTCATATTTGTAATCTCAGCACTTTGGGAGGCTAAGGTGGGTGGATCACCTGAGGTCAGGAGTTCGAGACTAGCCTGGCCAACATGCTGAAACCTCATCTCTATTAAAAATACAAAATTAGCCAGGCATGCCGGTGACAGGAGCCTGTAATCCCAGCTACTCAGGAGGCTGAATCGGGAGAATCATTTGAACTTGGGAGGCAGAGGTTGCAGTGAGCCAAGATCTCTTTATTGCACTCAGTCTGAGCAACAGAATGAAACTCTGTCTCAAAAAAAAAAAAAAAGGCCCTTTTCTTTTAGAGTTACACATGAAAATACTTAGAGATGAGATGATTTCATGGTGACATTTGTTTTAAAATACTGGTGGAGCTGGACAAAGCCTGGGCGTGTGGACACAGCATGACTGACTGTGAGTTGATGGTTTGGGGAACTGTGTCATGACTCATGTAGATACAGTAAACTAACATGTTTACTTAGCGTATGTTCCAAATTCTCCATAATAAAAACCTAAGATGACGATACAGAATATTCACATAGAAAATGCATGAAACAGGCTGGGCACTGTGGCTCACATCTGTAATCCCAGCACTTTGGGAAGCCGAGGTGTGCAGATCACCTAAGGACAGGAGTTTGAGACCAGCTTGGCCAACATGGTGAAACCCCGTCTCTACTAAAAAATACGTAAGTTAGCTGGTGTGCTGGCAGGTGCCTGTAATCCCACCTACTCAGAAGAGTTTATCCCTGTAGGGTCTGGCCATCCCAAAACCAGAGGCCTTCTTGTCAAGATCCTCAGAACCTCTGGAGGTGCATTGATTGTTCAGTCTACTGGGAGAATTGCTTGAACCTGGAAGGCAGAGGTTACAGTGAGCCAAGATCACACCACTGCACTGCAGCCTGGGTAACAGAGCGAGACTCTATCTCAAAAAAAAAGAGAATGCATGAAGCGGGGAAGGTATTGTGAATGAGCATTCATTCAAGTGGACATCCATAAATCTGTTACCAGGTCGTTAGCGGCTCCTGCCCTCTGTCAGAACCTCTGCCCCAAAGTAATCACTTTCCTCGCATCCTCTGGGGCGCTCTCATCCCTGGCTGCCTATGGAATCACCTGGGAAAACTTTACAAAATAATGCAGTTGAACCTCCTCCGGTGAAAACAGACTCCCTGGGAGTGCGCACAGGTGATTCTAATGTGCGGTCTCAGCTGACCTTGCTTTTCAGGTGAATGCCGTATTTGTGCTTGAATTTCTCAGTGAGCTTACTGCTCCTTACATCCAACCGGCAATTTCACTTTCTCGTCAAGGGACTGAGTGGCTGGACTATTTTGTAAGTATAGGTTACATTGCAACCCATTTCTTTCTTTCTTTTGGTTGAGATGATGTCTCGCCTTGTTGCCTAGGCTGGACTCAAGCTTCTGGGCTCAAGTGATCCTCCCTTTCAGCCTCCTGAGGAGCTGGGACTATAGCCACCGTGCCTGGCTTGCAATCCGTTTTGGCTTTTGTGTATTTGTGGTGAATGTGTATTTACCACGTATCGAGTGCTTCCCATTCCTCTGGAACTGTGCTAAGTAGTTTATTTTACTTAATGCTCACAACGATTGAGGGGTCGGCATCCCTGTCCCCATTTTACTGATGAAAAAACAGGCTCAAGAGATGATGTGGCTTGCTTCAGGTCACCCAGTTTAAAAAGTGCTGAGTGGGGACTGGGTTCAGAGCTCTCGGACTCAGTGCTCTCAAGTGGCAGTTCATGCTATTCATTCAGGGTCTAGGTCAGAGAGTTGAGGGCCATTTGGCCACCCACAGTGAACTGGAAGTAAACACGGGAGGTGGTCACGGTGTCACTCGAGGGACATTAAGTGGTGTGCCTTGGAGCTGAGTTTCCGTCTTTGTGAAATGGGGACAGCACTGTTTTGTCTTCTCTGGCTGACACCCTCTTACTCATCAAAGGCGCGTCAGTTGTCACAGAATGTGGAAGCCGGAAAGCTCCTCTGAATTTCAAGTGACCTCCTGGCTAAAGCAGAATTAGTCATGTCCTTCTCAAGCCTCACAGACCACTTGTCCAGGTCTCTCAGAGCAGTTGGCAGGACTTCTATTCTTGTCCTGTGAGACTCCGGTATGTCTATCAACAGATGCTATTTTGTAGCAATTTCTCTGTCGGCAGAGTCCAGCCCAGGGGCTGGAGCATGGCAGGGGACCCTGTGTGTCTGCAATCTGAATGAAAGGGTGAGGGTACTGCTTGAACACCAAAGCTTTGGTCCAGAGTCTAGGATGTAATGACACAAGACCCTTTGGGCAGAGACATACCACGCACAGCCACAGGATAGTGGGTAGGAAGCTGGACTCTGAACAAAGACTGCTTGGGTTCAAGTCCAGTCTCTGCCACGTCTGAGCTGAATGACCTTGGGCAAGTTATCTCACTTCTCTGGGCTTCCCTTTCCTCGTTTGAAAAAAATGTTGTGTCACAACCTCTTTATAAGGATTGAATGGGTGGGTACAGTGGCTCATACCTGTGATTCCAGCACTTTGGGAGATAAAGGCAGAAGAATCACTTGAGGTCAGGAGTTTGAGATCAGCCTGGGCAACATAGTCAGATTCCAACCCTAAAAAAAATAAAAAATAAAAAAACATTAACTGGGCATGGAGGCATGCACCTGTAGTCCCAGCTCCTCAGGAGGCTGAGGTGGGAGGATTACTTAGCTCAGGAGTCTGAGGCTATGGTGAGCCACTGCACTCTAAGCTGGGTGACATGGGGAGACCCTTCTTGAAAGAAGATGAAGAAAAAAGGATTGATTGAGTTTGTGTTTTAAAAGCACTTCAATGATGCCAGGCACTGTGGTGCCAGGGGCCAAAGGAAAAGTTAGGGATACCAATTATGTCTTTAAGATTTTGATATTTATCAAGGGTATTTTTGCATTAATTTCACATTAGTTTTTTCATTCATTTTTGCTTTAAACATATTGCTTCAAAGTATTATCTTGATGACTGAGTTTTTGGTGCCCCCTTAAATTTTGCCCCCAAGGAGAATGTCTCGCTTACCTCTCCCTCTTCCCAGCCCTGGCACCTAGGAAGCAATGCATCAGTTCTCATTGTTCTGGAGGTAGCACAGCATCATTATGTGTATTTAAAGAAAAAGACGGATGTCGGCGGGGCATGGTGGCTCACACCTGTAATCCCAGCACTTTGGAAGGCCAAGGCAGGCGGATCACCTGAGGTCAGGAGTTTGAGACCAGTCTGACCAACATGGATAAACCCTGTCTCTACTAAAAATACAAAAAATTAGCCAGGTGTGGTGGTGAATGCCTGTAATCCCAGCTACTTGGGAGGCTGAGGCAGAAGGATTGCTTGAACCTGGGAGGTGGAGGTTGCGGTGAGCGGAGATCATGCCATTGCACTCCAGCCTGGACAAAAAGAGTGAAACTCCACCTGGGAAAAAAAAAAAAAAAAAGGAAAGAAAAAAGAAAAAGATAGACATGTATATATTACCAATACCAATACTTATTCAGAATCTGCAAAGCTCTGAGCACGGGGGATGGGGCTGTGTGATGGTTAGTACTGTCAACTTGATTGGATTGAAGGAGCAAAAGTATTGATCCTGGGTGTGTCTATGAGGGTGTTACCAAAGGAGATTAACATGTGAGTCAATGGACCGGGAGAGGCAGAACCACATCTGGGTGGGCTCCATCAGATCTGCTGCCAGCGTGGTTAGAATAAAAGCATGACTTACTTTAACATACATATGCTATATGTTACTTATCAAGTAAGTATATAACATATGTTAACATATATATGGTAAAGTAAGTATATATATAATATATATAACATATACATGTTAAAGTAAGTATATATACTTACATTTATATACCTTAATATATATATATATACCTTAACATATATATATGTCAGTTTAACATATGTATATATGTGACAGGGTCTTGCTCTGTCGCCCAGGCTAGGATGAAGTGGTGTGATCATAGCTTACTGCAGCCTCGACCTCGTAGGCTCAAGTATTTCTCCTGCCTCAGCCTCCTAAGGAGCTGGGACCACAGGTGCATACAAACATGCCTGGCTAATTTTTTGATTTTTTTTTTTTTTTTGTAGAGATGGGAGTCTCACCATATTGCCTAGCTGGCCTCGAACTCCTGTGGTAAAGTGATCCTCCCACCTCTGTCTCCCAAAATGTTGGGATTACAGTTGTGAGCCACCATGCCTGGCCCTGTGAACCCAGTGTTTTAGACTTTCTGCCATGGTATTTGGGTGAGTCAAGAGCTCTGTTCTCATCTTCTGCAAGAATGTCTTGAATGCTGAAGTTATTTGCTGGATTTTTCTGGGAGTTCCACTGCTGAGTTCCTCTGATTATTCATGTCTAAGGAAGCGGTAGTCTAGACATGGCGGGGCTGTGGGAGGTAGCCCTCCCCTTTTCAGAGTGGATCTGTGCAGCCATCTGCCATCACCCGTTCCTGTGGGGGAAGAACACAGATTTTCCTGTGTTAAAAAATCCCTGAGACAAGGCTTTGGCAGAATCTGAACCGACTAGAGAAGTGGCTCCAGAATTTTCTGGGAAAGAATGGGAAGAGGGAAGGAGAGGGCAAGGGAGAGGAGAACAGAGAGGAAGGGAGGAAGAGAAAGTGGGAGGGAAAAAAGGAGGTAAGGGAGAAGAAAAATGAGCAGGAAGAACCTGCAGACAGCCTTCCAGGTGGATGTCTTTGAAGGTAACTGAAATTAGCGGGATTTTCCTAAAGAGTCTCTGTTAGCCATTCTCCAAATCCCAGTAGGGAAACTGGCTTCCCTAATCAGGGAAGGGCAGTTCAGGAGAGTGGACCGGGGGTTGGTGATAATGCCCACCTTGCAGACTAGTTGGAAAATTCCAAATAGGTTGAATATCTGAAGTTCAGGGCTGCCGCACAATAGGTATTCAGTAAATGTCAGTTCAATTCTCTCCTTTTTTATTTTTATTTATTTATATTTTGAGATGGAGTCTTGCTCTTGTTGCCCAGGTTGGAGTGCAATGGCACAACTGCAGCCTCAACCTCTCGGGTTCAGGTGATTCTCCTGCCTCAGCCTCCCAAGTAGCTGGGATTACAGGCGCATGGCACCATGGTTTTGTATTTTTAGTAGAGATGGATTTTCACCATGTTGGCCAGGCTAGTCTCTAACTCCTGACCTCAGATGATCCACCCACCTTAGCCTGCCAAAGTGTTGGAATTATAGGCGTGAGCCTCTACGTCTGGCTAGTTCTCTCCTTTTTAAAAGACAGGGTCTTACTGTCTTGCCCAGGCTGGAGTACAGTTGCATAATCAGAGTTCACTGCAGCCTCAATCTTCTGGGCTCAAGTGATCCTCCCGCCTCAGCCTCCTGATTAGCTGGAACCACAGCTAATTTTTGTTTTTGTTTTCTTTACTTTATTGTTATTTTGTTTTTGTAAAGATGGGGTTTTGCCATGTTGGCTGGGTTGATCTCGAACTCCTAAGGTCAAGCAATCCTCCTGCCTCCGCCTCCCAAAGTGCTGGGATTATAGGTATGTGCCAGCGTGCTTGGCCAATCTTTAAAGGGAGTCAGTTGGATCATGTTACTTAGCTGAAAACCCTTCACTGGTTTTTCCAACACATTTAGCATAAAATCCAAACTCCATACTGTGGCCTGGGAGGAGCTGGCTCCTGAAATTTACCTTTGCCTGGCATCACTCCCCTGCTCTGCTTTGCTCACTCTGCTCGTGCACACTGGTGAAGGTTCGGCTTTCAAACACGCTACACGCAATCCCACCTTGTGGCCTTTGCACGTGCTGTTTCCGTGACCCGAATGTCTTTCCTCCAGGATAGCTGCATGGCCCTCTTGTTCACTTCATTCAGGACTCTCCTCAGATGTTACTTTATCTGGGGGGGGCATTCCTGATTCCTGATCATCATATCAAGAATAACATCTATCACTTCTATCTTCTTCTTCTTTCTTCCTTCTTTCTTCTTTTTTCTTTCTTCTTCTTCTCCTTCTCCTCCTCCTCCTCCTCCTCCTCCTCCTCCTCCTCCTCCTCCTCCTCCTCCTCCTCCTCCTCCTTCTTTCTTTCTTTCTTTCTTATTTCTTCTTTCTTCTTCTTTTTTTTTTGAGGTGGAGTCTAGCTCTGTAGCCCAGGATGGAGTGCAGTGGTGCAATCTTGGCTCACTGCAACCTCTACCTCCTGAGTTCAAGCGATTTTCCTGCCTCAGCCTCCCAAGTAGCTGGGACTGCAGGTGTCCGCCACCATGCCCAGCTAATTTTTGTGTTCTTAGTAGATTTGGGGGTTTCACCATGTTGTCCAGGCTGCTCTCAAACTCCTGAGCTTGTGACCCACCTGCTTCAGCCTCCCAAAGTGCTGGGATTATAGGTGTGAGCCACTGCACCCAGCCACTACTACCTTCTTAATGTATCTTGCCATATATAGATATTTAGCATTAACCATATTCTCTCTGGATATGTATATTTAGCATATTTACAAAAGGCCCCAGAGCATTTAGTGTATGGCACAAAATAGGCAAATAATGGTAATACTTATTACTATTCATTTTGTTATTACAGACAGTGCTGTGTGAATTTTAAATCCTTTCATGAGGAAAGGTTTTTTTATTTTTAGGCTGGGCAAGGTGGCTCATGCCTGTAATCCCAGTACTTTGGGAGGCTAAGGGGGGTGGATCACCTGAAATCAGGGGTTCAAGACCAGCCTGGCCAACATGGTGAATCTCTGTCTCTACTAAAAATACAAAATTTAGCCAGGTGTGGTGGCGTGAGCCTGTAGTCCCAGCTGCTTGGGAGGCTGAGGTGGGAGGATTGCTTGAACCCAGGAGTCAAAGGTTACAACAAACTGAGATCATACCACTGCACTCCAGCCTGGATGACAAAGTGAGACTCTGTGTCACAAAAAAAAAAGGGGCTTTTTTTTTCCTCTTTTTTGGGAGAGCTGGGGTCTTGCTATATTGCCTAGGATGGTCTCAAACTCCTGGGACAAGCAATCCTCCTGCCTTGGCCTCTCAAAATCCTGAGATTAGAGGTGTGAGGTACCATGCAAAACCAAGAAAAGGTTTTAATAGTCAGAAATTGTATAGCTACAGTTTATGGAGCATAACTATGTGCCCAGCAGGTGCTAAGTTGTTTTTTTCTTTTTCAAAAACTTTCTCATGTAACTCTCACTATCACAGAATGCCTCGAAGTTTGTATTATTTCAGGAGAGGAAGTGGACTCCGAATCAGCTTAATTAATGTTGGTAAACATAGTAGTGTTATGAAATGAGTGAATGAAAGCACAACATGAGACCTATTGTAAAGCGATTAGAAGACTTCAAAGCACTCAGCTCTGGGATTGAATGGTGGAGGGGCAGGCATTTAGAAGGGGAGGCATCCCTTGTGTACTCCCAGAAGTGTCCTTATCCAGGGTCAACCTTGGATGCACCAAGATTTATTTTATTAGAGAAGGCAGCCATTCCTCACCCCACACTCTTGGCACATCCAAGGTCTGAGGAATCTGAGAAATGGCTCCCCTTGTCCATGGGCTCAATCTGTTTCCACTGGGCGACAAGCAGCCCGGGCATATGGGGTCTGTACATTTCACTGCGTAGGTGATAAACCTTGAGCCCAATCAGAATTATCAGTCTTGTGTTCTGTGTGTCATGGGGCCTCCTGACACTGTGAAGTGCACTCACACCCATATGTCCTTTTATTTATGGCTTTTATTGAGTCTTCTGTGAAGTCGTAAATTGACCAACCCTCCAGCGGGTTCAGGCCCTCATCAGGAAGCTATCATCAAAGTGAATCACCTTCTCACTGGCCACTTGTTCCCTGAAGGTTCATTGCTAAGGCTGAGATGTTTTCTGGGACTTGCTTATAGAATCCGTCAGCCCTAGGCAGCCCAGAATCGCCAAGCCAAGGTTTTTTCTTGTTGTTGTTGTTATTCTTGTTAAGAAAGAGAAGTAAAATACAAGGTGGAAAAGTAATGTGTTTGTTTGGTCAGGGGCTCTCATCTCTGTACAGTATCCTGGAAATGCCTCAATTTCTGGAGCTGTGAATTGGACTAAGTTGGCATACTCTTATTGTGGCCTAGAAAAAGTCTGAGTAATTCTTGCATCAGGGAGGCCGGGTGCATTGGCTCATGCCTATAATCCAGCACTTTGGGACGCTGAGGTGGGTGAATCGCCTGAGGTCAGGAGCTCAAGACCAGCCTGGCCAACATGGTGAAACCCTGTCTCTGCTAAAAATACAAAAATTAGCTGGGCGTGGTGGCAGATGCCTGTAATCCCAGCTACTTGGGAAGCTGAGGCAAGATAATTGCTTGAACCCCAGAAGCAGAGGTTGCAGTGAGCTGAGACTGTGCCACTGCACTCCAGCCTGGGTGACAGAGCAAGACTCCATCTCAAAAAAATAAAAATAAAAACAATTCTTGCACCAGGGATTTTGGGACAAGGCAGAGAACAACATATTCCTAAGGGAACTTGGGAACCAGCAACATAAATAAAAACAAGAGTTGGACCTTGGACTTGGGAGGGACTTGAGTGAAAATGATTTCCCTAAAAGCATGGGGTGCTAGAGAGTCCCTGAGAACTCCTTAGACAACTCTCAAGCCCTGTTCTGTGCACACAACCTGCATTATCTCATCCACTCTTCAATGGTTCTCTGTTTTATCTCCATTTTGCAGATGGAGAAATTGAGGCTCACAGATGTTATTTCACTGTGTAAGTTGTTCAAGGCACATGGATAGTAGTGGTAGAGCCAAGTTCTGAACACAGATGCTTCTTTATTAAAATTCATCCATTTGGATATATATCCCAATGATTTGTAGTAAATTTATTTAGCTTTATTTTGTTGTATTTATTTTTTTGAAATGGAATCTCATTCTGTCACCCAGGCAGGAGTGCAGTGGTGTACTCTCAGCTCACTGCAACCTCCACCTTCTCGGTTCAAGCCATTCTCCTGCCTCAGCCTCCTGAGTAGCTGGGACTGCAGGGATGTGCCAGCTTGCCAGGCTAATTTTTGTATTTTTAGTAGAGATGTGGTTTCACCATGTTGGCCAGACTGATCGCAGACTACTGACCTCAGGTGATCCACCCACCTCGTCCTCCCAAAGTGCTGGGATTACAGGCATGAGCCACTTATTTTATTTAATTATATATATATATATAATTAAATAATAATGTTATATAAATATATTATATAAATAATATTATTATTTAATTATATATATTATAAATTAGATATATATACTTATAAATTGTATAAATGATATATATATTTTATTGC